TTTTGCAAGAGAATTGGCCTGGGTACCCAGCTCATCCAAGAGAGAGACATCCGGCAAGTACTCCCACCCAAAACATCCTTTCTTGGGGTCATTCCTACGTTAATGATGCCTTTCTTCTAATGTATTTTGCCCGGGAACGTTCATTTCTAACTAAAAGCAACCACAGTGTGCAAGGGAGTGAGCAAACGGGAGAGATCATTCCATCCGTGACGTTTCCCCATTAAATCACACACCCCACCAAGATACTATTTGTTTTCTGAAAACGTACTCGCTGCAAGATTGCTCCAGATTTCCCCCCAGCAAACATACACACACACAGCATGCCAGCTTTTTTTAACATTAAAGAACGTGCTTGCACCAAGAATGTCTGCAAACACACAAACACACACACACACACACACACACACACACACACACAAAACTAAGCCAACCTGGCTGTTCTCCTCCTGCAGGTCCCTCGGCTCCTTCCAACTACCGAGAATATATTTTTCCAGCGAAACTTCTTTGTGCAATTAATTACTCTCCAACACTTTTGCTGACAAACCGGACCACATTCTCAGCAAAGTAGTGCAACCCAGCATCGCTCCTTGCCAATCCTGCTCTGCGTGAACGCTAGCCAAGGGCTGGAGAAAGAGATGATTTCACACTAATGGGTTACTGTAATACAGTAAAAATTCCACAGCCGGGGTGGGGGTGGAATTAATGAAGACAAAACCCCCAGTGGCAAACTTCTCTGGTTCTCTTCCCCTCTCCTGTTCTTAAGAAATGTGTTCACACCCTTGTTCTCTGCAAAAGAAGTCTAGAAAACCCCTCTTGGATTTAGAATCCTTTCCCCACAAGGACGCTTGAAAAACGGTTCCTGTCTACACATATGGTGTGTGGTTGTGCATGGAGGGGAGTCTGTTAATGGTAATTACTGTTGAATGTGCACACTTAAATCAAGTTGCGGGTTTGCTTCACTACAAACTCAATTCTTGGCTTTTATTAAAGATTTTCTTGTGTTACAAAACAGCCAAATAAACCAGGAAAAGTACATACATGCAGTGCTTTTTTTCTTTAAAAAAATGTTTAGGGCACTCTCATTTTCCTACTCATACTGAAATACTGCCCCTCAACGAGGCCAAATTTTGATTCACAAAATGTTTAGGGGTATGCGTACCCTTGCGTACCCCCCAGGGAAAAAAGCACTGCATATAGGGTCTCTACTTTCCATTCTCTGAGTCTTTTTCACAGTTCATTTACGTTTGGTATGATACACTATTGTCATAGACATCATGCGATTGAGGGAAAAGAGAGGGGAGAGAAGGAGGTATCAGGAGTGAATATAGCCCACCGGTTCCAAAATGTATGGGAAACTGCCCTACTAGAAAAGTTAACCAACAAACTTGGGACAAGCAAAGGAGGATGCCTTCACTATGGTGGGTCTCCCCTTTATCACACACACAGCACAACAAGACAATGGCCTATTCCCTGCCCCTCTCCAGCATACGAATCAATGTGGCTAATCTGACTCAACAACCCAACCCCCAACCACTCATACAAACACAATCCACACTGCAACCAACCGAAGGCTACAAACTCAAGTTTTTGTCACTGTACAGCTACAGCCAATCGCTTCTTGGCTAGTGTACCTGCACAAGACTGACATTTCCATTTGCCAGGTTCATAGTCTTTACATACTACACTGCTGGTAAAGGTAAAGGACCTCTGGACGGTTAAGTACAGTCAACGGCAACTATGGGGTTGCGGTGCTCATCTTGCTTTCAGGCCAAGGGAGCCGGCATTTGTCCGCAGACAGCTTTCTGGGTCCTGTGGCCAGCAGACATAAACTGCTTCTGGCACAATGGGAAACGGTGATGGAAACCAGAGTGCACAGAAATGCCATGTACCTTCCCGCCACAGCAGTACCTATTTATCTACTTGCACTGGTGTGCTTTCAAACTGCTAGGTTGGCAGAAGCTAGGACAGAGCAATGGGAGCTCACCCTGTTGTGGGGATTCGAACTGCCGACCTTCTGATTAGCAAGCCCAAGAGGCTCAGTGGTTTAGACCACAGCGCCACCCGCATCCCTCCAAAATACTTTTACCTTAATGCATTGTAAGGCAAAGCAACAAAAGGTTTGTACCACTAGAAATAACTTCCTGATGGGATGAACCTCTCAGTTGTGGAACAGGCTGCCCTGATTGTGGTTTTAAAGCAAATGCTGAAAGCTACCCATCAAGAGATGCCGTGGCTATGGATTTCCTTCACGGGCAGTGGGATGCACTTGGGCCTCTGAGGAGCTCTTCTCTTGTTTTAAGTGTAACCTAGAAATATAATGCATGAAACAATCAAGGTAGCACAAAAAAATAAAGGGAGAAGAGAAAGAACTAGCTGGGGACATCAATGCCTAAAGCATCCCAACTGAAAGAGGGTTCACATCAATTCTCTTCTACAGGGTGCTGCTGCACAGTTTTGGAAGATGATTTCCGGCTTCTTCTTGGTTTTGTTACAGAAACTTAACTGGATTATTATTACAGGGGTACCTCGTGTTACAGGGACGCAGGTGGCACTGTGGGTTAAACCACAGAGCCTAGGGCTTGCCGATCAGAAGGTCAGCGGTTCAAATCCCCGTGACGGGGTGAGCTCTCGTTGCTCGGTCCCTGCTCCTGCCAACCTAGCAGTTCGAAAGCACATCAAAGTGCAAGTAGATAAATAGGTACCGCTCCGATGGGAAGGTAAACGGCATTTCCGTGCATTGCTCTGGTTTGTCAGAAGTGGCTTAGTCATGCTAGCCACATGACCCAGAAGTTGTACACCGGCTCCCTCGGCCAGTAAAGCGAGATGAGCGCCGCAACCCCAGAGTCATCTGCGACTGGACCTAATAGTCAGGGGTCCCTTTACCTTTTACCTCGTGTTACAGACAGGATCTATTCTGGAGGCCCGTCTGTAACGTGAGATGCCCACAACTCGAAGCGCTGTGTCTGCGCAGGCGTGTGACGCGATTTGGAGCTTCTGCGCATACGCGAGCGGTGAAACCCGGAAGTAACCCATTCCGGTACTTCTGGTTGCCGCGGTACGTAACGCGAAAAGATGCGACATGAAGCAGATGCAACACGAGGCATGACTGTATATTTTTTAGGAGGAAAGATTAAACAAGAGTGTTGTGAATCCTGCCCCAAAATAACCAAAGCCAAGTTAAATAGTTGCTTCCAATTTTTTTTTGTAATATCTGATGAAAAAACAAAGGAGAAGGGAGAAGGCTGATCAGGTCACTAATGGGATAAGAAGGAGCCGGCTGCCACTGTCCCTTTAAAACACACTTAGGAAATTGAAGGGCATTACAAAAAAGACAATTAATGCACCTTGATTTTGAGAAATAAATCCATTTTGAGTGCAGCAATACCATTACCATCCAATGTACCATAGCACACTAATACTTCAAAGAAAATGAACCTAGACTACTATTAAAATCTGTATTCTGGAAAGACGGGGTGGATTTCTGCAGTATGGGCTTCCAGGTGACCGTTGTTTCTTTTATTATTTCAGCATTTGTCCTGATTTGTTTGCCCAAAGTTTGGGGAGAGCTTAGAAAAAGCCAGCTATTTATCAAGCATTCGTCCCAATTTGTTTGCAAAGGAAGTTAGATGGCATTGTTTCAAAGCAAGCATTTTCGAGTCCCTTTCCCAATCACGTTCCTTATCACAAATAGTCTGGGGTTTGTTTGTCTCTTTGGAGTGGGGGATGTCTTATACAAGAGGATCAACACAGCATTTAATTGCACAACTTGAATTGAACAATATATTGATTGCATCTCATCTTAAAATAGCAGTAGCCTGGAAGCACCCACATTTTAAGGAACATCTCCCTTGCAGATGGCAAACCTTGAGTTGCAGGACTGCCAAGATCAGCAGAATGTGACCCGTGTTGAAAACATAACTGTTTTCTCTTGCTCTGGAAGGCAGGAACTGAACCAATGGAATCAAGTTACAAGAAAGGAGAGTCCGACTAAACATCAGAAAGAACTTTCTGACAGTAAGACCTGTTAGACAGGGGAATGGACTCCCTCAAAAGGTGACAGACTCTCCTTCCTTGGTGATTTTTTAAGAAGAGCTTGATTGGCCATCTGCCATGGATGCTTGAACTGAGATTCCTGCATTGCAGGGGGTTGGACTAGATGACCCATAGAGGACCCAACTCTGCAATTCTCTAAGTCTCAAAGAGTTTGTCATTCCCCTTACTAAGCACACAGAGACACAGAGTCCAATCTGATGTAGTTTCATGCTAAAAAAACCCAAACACATTCCCTAGTAAAAGACTAAAATTACTACAGTACTTTAAAGTAGAAAACCAAGTTTTCTGAGACGTCCCCCATAGAATTACACAACATTCACATTTCAAAGAGAAAAAGTCACTCCATTTCAAAGGGGAGAAACGATTCCAAGTCAATCTCAGCAAAACACCCACCCTTAAAACACACACACACACACACACACAATCCATGAGGCTTCACTCTTCTGAAAGGACATCCACGGAGCATGAGAAGCTGAGCTAGAGCTCAGCTCTGGAAATCTGTTCGTAGGCTTCATGCGAGATACCCAGGCTGCAATCCTAACGACGTCTGCTCAGAAGCAAGCCCCACTGAATTCAGACTGCAGCCTTAGCTAGTACTTGCACACTCCACCTGCAGCCTAGATGGCAAGTCACTGCCTCTGAGCGTGTGCAGGGTGCCTTCCCTTCTCACAGGAAGCACAGCTCGCCCCGACACAACCCCTAAACTGCAGGGCTGAGTTTCCACAACAGTGTGCCCTATGGGACCCTCTGGCGCTGCAAATAAGAAACGGAGCGGCGCTCTCAGTTTTACGCAAGGTGTGGGGGGCGGGATGGTTCTCTACAAGTTTAATAAGTAAGTTAATAATAATGATGATGATGGTGATGATGAAGAAGAAGTAAGGTGCGGGGGAGCCCGAGGAGGGGGGGAACATTGAGGGGGGGGGGAAACATTGTTCTTCCCAGTCCCCTTAACGTGAACTGAAAACTTGGGAGGCGCAAAGAAAAGCGGAGAGGATACAGCGAAGTTTCTTTTGCGCACGAAGCAAAGGCTGGAGAGGCGAGGCGAGGCGACCCCAGGGAAAGTTTGCGGCGAAAAGGCGGACCCAAACGAAGGCAAATGGGAGCCGGAGGGAGCGGAGAAGAAGGGGGACCCCCCTCCCTGACCCTCTGCACCGCGACGGCGAGGGGAAATACCTGGCACTGGAAGCGTGGCGCGCGGGAAAAGGGAGCTGCTCCGTGGAGCAGCTGGCGGCGCCCGGCGCGCGTGGCGAGTCCCCAGGACGCAGCGCGGCTTTGGCAGGCGCTCGCCGGCAGCCCCGCAGCAGCGGCAGGAGGAGGAGACACAGAAGAAGGGCGGTCCTTCGGCCTCCCGGCTTCCCCCCCACCGTCTCCTGCAAGCCCCACATTGCGGGGAAGGAGGCGCGCACGGGATGCTCGCTGCGGGCCCCCCGGACCGATGAGGAAGGCCACGCGAGATGCTCGCCCGGAGAGAGAGGGAGAGAAAGAGGAGAGGTGGCAAAAATGTAACGCGCCGCGCTGCGCATCGTGACGACGCAGGAGTCAAGTCCCACAGAAGGCAAACGCTCCGAAGTTAAGCTGCATCCCCTACGTTTAGAGCACGGGACTTTCTCTCTCTCTCTCTCTTTTAAAGGAACTTTAGTTTCCTCCCTCGCAATGCTACAATTCCCAGCACCCTTTAAAAAACTACAGTTCCCACGATTCCTGGGGAGGGGGGAGGATAGGCTGTAGTTATTGCGCTGGATTTAGGGTTCCCCCACAGAGACTGATGAGCCAATGGGGTAATAACAGCAACTTATATTTATATGGGTACCTACTCAATATGGGGGGGGGGGGGAGAGAGATTTGGTCCTGGTTCAAGGCACCATATTACAAAAGTTGGCCACTACAGCATAGGAGCCAATTCCTAGGGGCTGAGGCCCCCCCCCCCGTAAATTATTTGAGGATGAGCATTGCCATCCAAATTGTGCATGTGTGGTTCATCTTGTGATTGATTATGTGGAGCGGGCTCCCCCCCCCATATAATCTACTCAAGTTGGCCCCCCCTGCCCTGTGCCCATTGTTATCCCTAACAAGTGTGCTGAGCTGGGTGTGTGGTTGATGGGAGCTGGAGTCCCCATCACATCGCCTGGTGGAGGACCACAGATTTCACCCATCCCTACCTTAGGCCACGTTAAGGGACGCGGGTGGCACTGTGGGTTAAACCACAGAGCCTAGGACTTGCCAATCAGAAGGTTGGCGGTTCGAATCCCCGTGACGGAGTGAGCTCCCGTTGCTTGGTCCCTGCTCCTGCCAACCTAGCAGTTCGAAAGCACATCAAACTGCAAGTAGATAAATAGGTACCGCTCTGGCGGGAAGGTAAACGGCGTTTCCGTGCGCTGCTCTGGTTCGCCAGAAGCGGCTTAGTCATGCTGGCCACATGACCCGGAAGCTGTACGCCGGCTCCCTCGGCCAATAAAGCAAGATGAGCACCGCAACCCCAGAGTCGGCCACGACTGGACCTAATGGTCAGGGGTCCCTTTACCTTTACTTAACTTTACCTTAGGCCATACTTCCTTCCACGTTTGGGGATGCTATTTTACCCTGTGACAATACCTATAGCCCACAATCGTGCTTTGGCAAGCTGGGGTAACTGCTCAGTGACAATGAAGGAAAGTGGGGGTAAGGCAGCAATGTGCCACTTGTCAATGAGCGGTTCCTCGGCTTGCCAGAGCAAGATTATAGACTAGAGGCATCATCACAGGGGGAAATAGCTCTGGAAATTTACCTAGCAGTGCTTCAGGAGGATGGAAACCTGGAATCAATAATTCTGTGCAGGCAAGTGGTGCTGATCAGAGAGAGAGATGAGAGTCCTTGTGTATTGAGAGCGTTTAGTCACATTCCCACTCTGCTCTCATGAATAATGGAAACATTTCCTTCCCCCTTCTTTTGTATCTGGATGAGGGAGTGCACATAAAATGCCGAACTCTTCCAGACTCTCCACATCCCTGGAGAAGATGCATTACCCAGTTCAGGCAGATGTCCTACAGATACACTTGTCTGAGTCCCACTGAACTCTGTGGGGCTTGCTTTTGAGGAGACATGTGTAAGCTGTCTTCTGGATGGGACAGCATTGTTGTTGTCAATTTGATTTATTATCCGTCCTTCACTATAAGGTCCCGGAGCAGGTCGCGAAAACAATGCAGCAACTTACGCAACATCTCTGTAGTATTTGCTCTGTCAACAAATGCATAAAGAGGCAGACGATGAAGGCAAGTATATATGCCTATACGGCACAGCCAGCCTCAAAATTCCCAGATTTGGGAATCGGCTACAGTGCCGCACCCCAGATTTTCTAGACGAAGGGCCAAGCTGGGCATGACTGTTATTCCCACCTTTATCCCTTGCACATCTATTTTTAAAACCATATTAAACAGTGCCAATGGATGCTTTCCTCCCATTGCAAAAGGGACGTGTGAGGGCAAAAAGAGAGAAAAAAGTAAAGGACCCCTGGACGTTTAAGTCCAGTCAAAGGCGATTATGCAGTTGCAGAGCTCATCTTGCTTCAGGCCGAGAGAGCTGGCGTTTGTCCACAGACAGCTTTCCAGGTCATGTGGCCAGCATGACAAAACCGTTTCTCGTGCACTGTGACAGAAGCCAGAGCACACAGAAATGTCGTTTACCTTCCTGTCCCAGCGGTACCTATTTATCTACTTGCACTGGCATGCTTTCGAACTGCTAGGTTGGCAGAAGCTGGGACCGAGCAACGGGAGCTCACCCGGTCATGGGGATTCGAACCGCTGACCTTCCGATCTGCAAGCCCAAGAGGCTCAGTGGTTTAGACCACAGTGCCACCCACCTTAAAGCCCACTACCATGGCACCATGGGGTCTCAAATTTCAGCTGCGTCCTGTGCGGTGCCAAAATTTGGCGGCCCCTCGCCCTCACCTTCCACCTAAGAGTTGTATTCTTGAGGCTCTGCACCTCATGCAACCAAACTGGTCAGTCACACTCCCTAAATCTGCCTTTGTCATATTCCTGATCAGGTCCTCCCCCTTATGCCATCTTTTTTCTTAACAACAACATCAACAACAATTTATTGTTTATATGCCACCCATGTGACTAGGTTGAACTCTGGGCAGCTCCCAACAAATTAAACACATTAAGCACAGTAAAACATCAAACATTAAAAACTTCCCTATACAGCTGCAAGAAAAGAAAGTAGATTAGTTATGATGTATAAATCCGAATCAGATATGTGTAAGGAAACTGAAGGAACTTTTTTCCACATGTGGTGAGCATGCAAAAAAGTTAAAAGGTATTGAGAAATGATTTACAATGAGATGAAAAAAATGTTTAAATCAACTATCCCCCTCCCCCCCAAAAAACCCCAGAGGCATTCCTTTTAGGAATGGTTCAGACAGAGGTACCCAGGAGTCAGAAAAAAATCTATTTATGTATGCGACAACAGCAGCTGGATCCTGTTAGCCTCCAAAATGGAAAGTGAGTGAGGATGAGCAGCTTAAGACATTAGAATATGCACAACTAGCAAGGTTAACAAGCAGATTTAGAGAGCAAGAAGAACAAGTATTTAAAGAGGAGTGGAATTTTGTTGATGAATATATAGAAAATGATCGTACACAGACGAAAACGCTAATAGCATTAATGTAAATTCAACAGCACAACATATTTAAAAGGGATATTAAAATTGCAGGGGGCGAGAATTGAATTAAATGGATGTACAAGAATTGTGGTTAAAATAAAGGAGCCTTGGAAGGGGATGGAGGAAAGTCGTTGAATGCATTGGTATACTGAAATATTTTAATTGTGGAAATGGCTATTTGAAAATTTTTTAATAAAAATTATTTACAATAAAGGAGGAAATATCCACACAGTCATTAAATGAGCTTTAAGGCTCTTTTGTTAACCCCTAATTCCCATCCCGGATGGGCAAAACCAGAGCAACAGCCCCTTTAGCAATAGGGGCTGGACGTGACTCCTTTAGATCATCTTTGCTATCTTGTGTGTTTATGACACACAAGCTTGTTGTAGACAGATGGATCCCACTTTCCTATGATAAAAATCAAGTCCGCTTGCAAGGAAACATATGAAGCGCAACAGCATTAAGAGCAAACCTAACAATCAAACCGACCTCTGTAAAACGGCATCATAAACAATAGCACAGTGATGGAGAAAGAAAGTGGGGCCAAACCACAAAACGCTTTAATGTTCTGCAATAATTAAAACGAAAAGTCCTGGGACTTGGTCCCAACGTGAAGCACTCCTGCTGTCGGGCAAAGACGCAATTCCTTGCAGCCATTCAATTCACAGGCAGAAAACATCTGAGGAGTTGTCATCTTGCAGTGGGGGCTTTCTAGGGTTGCCACCTATCAATAATAATAATAATAATAATAATAATAATAATAATTTATTACTTATACCCCACCCACCTGGCCGGGCCTCCCCAGCCACTCTGGGCAGCTCCCAAGAGAATATTAAAAACACGATAAAACATCAAACATTAAAAACTTCCCTAAACAGGGCCGCCTTCAATGTTTTCTAAAAGTCAGGTAGTTGTTTATTTCCTTGACATCTGATGGGAGGACGTTCCACAGGGCGGGCGCCACTACCGAAAAGGCCCTCTGCCTGGTTCCCTGTAGCTTCATTTCTCTCATTGAGGGAACCGCCAGAAGGCCCTCGGAGCTGGACCTCAGTGTCTGGGCTGAACAATGGGGGTGGAGACACTCCTTCAGGTATACTGGGTCGAGGCCATTTAGGGCTTTAAAGGTCAGCACCAACACCAACACTTTGAATTGTACTTGGAAACACACTGGGAGCCAATGTAGGTCTTTCAGGACTGGTGTTATATGGTCTTGGCGGCTGCTCCCAGTCACCAGTCTAGCTGCTGCATTCTGGATTAATTGTAGTTTCCGGGTCACCTTCAAAGGTAGCCCCAGGTAGAGCACATTGCAGTAGTCCAAGCGGGAGATAACCAGAGCATTCACCACTCTGGTGATACAATCTGCAGGCAGGTAGGGTCTCAGCCTGCGTACCAGATGGAGCTGGTAGACAGCCACCCTAGACACAGAATTGACCTGTGCTTCCATGGACGGCTGTGAGTCCAAAATGACTCCCAGGCTGCGCACCTGGTCCTTCAGGGGCACAGTTACCCCATACAGGGTTGTCCCTTATTTCAGTGTAAAATATCCAGTAGGAGAGAACAAGAAGGAATTGAGAGTGAGCCTCCTGGGGGCAGTGGGAATAGCACTGGAATGGTCCCAAAGAAACCAAAATTCCCAGGATTCCTTGGGGAAAAGTTTAAATCATAGGTCAGAAAACTAAGGGCTGTGAGCCGGATCAGCCATGATTGCCTTCCAAATCTGGCCTACGGACGGTCCGGGAATCGACGTGTGGATCGCCAGCATGCTCGTTCTTTCCCTCTCCCTCACGCGGCGGCGGCGGCGCCTCCTCCCTCCCTCCTCCTGGTTTCTCCCCACCCTGCCTAGAGGAGGAAGGGAGCTGGGTTTTGTTGGTGCCAGCCCCTCTCCAGAGCCTTTTCGCTCTCTGCTCATCGTCCCTCCTCCTCCACCACCACCACCAGCCCTTGCCGCTGGCAAGACACAGAAGCCGCGGTTGGCTGAGGAGGAGCAGGAGTTTGGATTTGATATCCGGCTTTGTCACTACCCGAAGGAGTCTCAAAGCGGCTAACATTCTCCTTTCCCTTCCTCCCCCACAACAAACACTCTGTGAGGTGAGTGAGGCTGAGAGACTTCAGAGAAGTGTGACTAGCCCAAGGTCACCCAGCAGCTGCATGTGGAGGAGCAGGGACGCGAACCCGGTTCACCAGATTACAAGTCCACCGCTCTTAACCACTACACCACACTGGCCCCTCTCAAGCGGCCGCCATTTAAAGCAGCCCCTCTCCGGAGCCCTTTCGTGTGCCGCTCATTGTTCCTCGCTCATTCTTCCCCTCCCAAAAAAAAATATAGTCCGGCCCCCCACAAGGTCTGAGGGACAGTGGACCAGGCCCCTGCTGAAAAAGTTTGAAAACCCCTGGTTTAAATGTATGGCACGGATGTGACCAGGAAGGCCAGAATATGCCACAACAAGGCAAACCACCTCTCCTTGTGAGCCCATTTCATGAGTAAGCAGTTCGCTGAGCACTGAAGCAGCATTGCTTAATCAGAAAATAATAATAATAATAATAATAATAATAATAATAATAATAATAATTGACACGGCTCGTTCTTAGCCCAGAAGAGTTTTGAAGTGCAGAAGGCATTCAAGGGAGGAGGGGGGGAAATCAATCTTCCTCGCATTTGTACTGCTTTTTCCCCTGGAAGGTATTGGTGCTGTAATAAGTTCTGTTCTCTAAAGAGACCTCGGCGGAATTGAGAACAGACTTCTTTGTAACAATACAGGATTCACTGACATCTCGCAACTGTTGTAAGAGTAGCTTTGGGACTCGTGCGGTCGTGCTCGGAATATGTTCGGGATGCACAGCGAGCTTTAAGTGCTGCGTCAGCAGTTTCGGGACTGGTTAGGAACTGTTGCGATATTCATATAAAACAACACTGGAAACAGAACACTTAGATGGATCTCATGAGGCACGCACAGTGCTGTTTAGGAGCAAGCCTCCTTTGCTTAAAAAAAAAATATGTTGGCCTTCCACTTACTTAAACTCTGCAGCTGTATATTGTACTTGGTTATAACTTGCACTGTAAAGATCAAGTATCTGTATTAGACATGGGGAGTTGGGCAATGCTAATGATTCACAATTATTATTACTATTAGTATTATTAGAATTCATGTACCGCCCTACACCTGGAGGTCTTAGGGCGATACACAGAATAGAATCAGAATATAAAGCCACAAAATATATAATCAAAATAAAACAACAACCCTATAACCGCCACCCAACACATTTTAGAAGGGCATAGGATGTCAAATCAATTTTGATTGAAGGGGAGGAAGACAATGCAAGATATTACGCTCTCCAGAGCGCATGCTTAATGCTCCCATGGTGAGTTATCAAGTGACTCTTGTGCCACTAGCCTAAAAAGAACGCCCTTTTCCTAGGTGTGACATTTCCTAGGTTTTCCTTTTCCTAAAGTGTAAGCAGAATCCACACTCACTTCCCTTCACTGTTACAAAACAGTGGGTGGAGTCATAAAGATGCCCAGAAGGGCTAGCTGAAGCATTTAAATTATTCCTGATTTTAATCTTTTAAATGTTCCCTAGACTCTCATGGAGCATTATCAGCACAGAATGCAGATGCTGATGAGGAAGTCTACTTACATCTCCATCCACTTTCTCTCTCACTTGCTGAATGATCAAACCAAAGGAGATTGCTATGCCTCTAGAGCAGGGATAGGCAACCTAAGGCCCGTGGGCCGGATGTGGCCCAATCGCCTTCTCAATCCGGCCAGCGGACGATCCAGGAATCAGCGTGTTTTTACATGAGTAGAATATGTCCTTTTATTTAAAATGCATCTCTGGGTTATTTGTGGGGCCTGCCTGGTGTTTTTACATGAGTAGAATATGTGTTTTTATTTAAAATCCACCTCTGTGCTATTTGTGGGGCATAGGAATTCATTCATTTTTCTTTTCAAAATATAGTCTGGCCCCCCACAAGGTCTGAGGGACAGTGGACTGCCCCCCCCCCCCGCTGAAAAAGTTTGCTGACCCATGCTCTAGAGCCCTAGTGACCAAGGAGCCATCAGAGGGAGGTGTCACAATGAAGGGCGTGTCACAAGGACTTCCGCAACCTAGCAACCTCCAGCAGTGAACTGACGCTACTCTCAACTGACACTACTAAGTTTCCTTATATGGCTTTTAATCCATGTTCAGCTTCTTACAAATCTGTAAAATGAAATCTGCATGTGCTGTAGAGGGTAGTGAGGAGCAGATGGGGCTGGTCCACCTTGGAAGGTAGTCCACTTAGGAGAAGGAAACCTCTGACCCTAAACTTCCACTGCCTTGCAGCTATACACATCTGTGAGAAAGGCTTCAGGAGGAAACTCCATGGAAAAACCCATACCTGCTGCCTTGTGGGACATCTTCAGGAGAAGGAAAAGCTAAGGAGTAAGCCCTACCAAATCTGGAGTCCCTAAGATGGTTGTATGCCTCCTTTTGACAACTCCTCCACAAAGCTGGTGCCAAATGTGTTGCTCTGCTTTCCTTTGGACCACATCAGTGAAACTGAGAGGGTGGTCTTGTTGCTAGGGCTTAAATATACTATGGCCAGGTGTGCTGGTCTCGGGCGGTTACCGTGTGGCGTGGTCCGAAGCAGAAGTGGGGTCCAAGGTAGGGAGTCAGGCGTGGTCAGGAACTCTGGCAGAAGAGCAGGACAGGGTGCTGGCAGGAACAGGCTACCAACAATGTTGCTCCCGCAACCTGGGACTGGGCTGACTGGCCTTTATCTCCTCTGAGGCCTGGGGCGGTCCAGGCCCACAGGTGACTCGCCTCCCCTGGCCTTAAGGCGAGCACTCCGCCTGAGAGAGCTTAGTTCCGTCCGCCTCTCTGCCTTGAGCCTCTGCAGCTCAGGAGAGGCTGGAGGGTTACTGGACCCAGAGGCAACCTCACCTTCCCATGACAGGGTTGGGAGAGGAGCACCTGCAGGCAATGGGTCCTCGATCACCTCCGGAGCCAGAGCAGATTCAGCTGGTGTCTGCTCCTGAAGATCCAGCACAGGTGAGAGCCCTTCAGATTCAAGCCTCTGCCCCGGCTCAGCTGGTTCTGGAGGCGGGGACTCTTGTGCAGGCTGGGATTCCTCCGGTTCAGCCTCTGAATCAGATTCACAGGCCAACACACCAGGCTTGTGCCCGGGCAGGTCACTTTGGTGCTACAGTGGTGCCCCGCAAGACGAATGCCTCGCAAGACGGAAAAACCGCTAGACGAAAGGGTTTTCCGTTTTGAAGTTGCTTCGCAGGACGAATTCCCCTATGGGCTTGCTTCGCAAGACGAAAATATCTTGCGAGTCTTGACCTTTATCTAATCTGCTAAGCCTTTAATAGCCTTTAATAGCCTTTTAGCAGCTAATCCCCTAAGCCTTTAAGCCTTTAATAGCCGCTAAACCGCTAATAGCGCTAATAGCGCTAATCCGTCAATGGGCTTGCTTCGCAAGACGAAAAAACCGCTAGACGAAGACTCTCATGGAACGGATTAATTTCGTCTTGCGAGGCACCACTGTACTAATGTAAAATTACCAGATGTTTTTCAAAGAATCCGGGGACTTTGAGGTCTCTTCCAAGTCTTACAGTTCTAGGACTTCAACAAAAACTTTTCCTCTGCACTTCTCCCATTTATTTGGGGATATATATATATATTCTCACTACATACATCATTATGCAACAGCCGGAGCACATCAGCGGAGACAAATTGGCTGAACGTAAGCAGCACTTTGATGAATAAAGTGACTGAGTGGCAATTAAGTCGAAAAACACACGGAGCCCATTAAGACAACATGCATATCTATTGCCAATAAGCATCCCTTCTGCTCGGCCTGAGCGGCAATCTTTGAGTGATTTTGCAGTCGTCTAATTTCTTTTGTCTAGTCATCACTGGCTTCGTTGGCTGGGAAGTATTAGGAAGTCTTCACGCCACATTTGGCGGCGTCTCATTATGGCGCATTGTAAACCAATCCGCAGAAAACGAAGGCTGAATCTCCTCGGTGATTGGGGTGGTTGTTTTCTCCCTCGCTCGTCTGTTCCTCGTGATTTAAGTGCACCGTTGTAAAATTCCGCCTGGCGTCATTGCTTTTGTCGCCGTAAAGTTGCTTAATGCCCCATTGTAGAAGATGGCTCATGATCCTGGCCGAGAGCGAACAGGCCAGAAGGACGGCCTATAAAGTCCTTGACGCAATGGTTTCGTATACAGGTGGTTGTCACTGAAAACGGAGACAATTGCCGTGCTTGCTCCCCACACACCATTGTCTGAGAGGCTCCTTCTATGCTATTACACTCCCTCCCAGCCCCCTAGAGCAGGGGGAAGAAGAAGAAGAGTTAGGATTTGATATCCCGCTTTATCACTACCCGAAGGAGTCTCAAAGCGGCTAACATTCTCCTTTCCCTTCCTCCCCCACAACAAACACTGTGAGGTGAGCTGAGAGACTTCAAAGAAGTGTGACCAGCCCAAGGTCACCCAGCAGCTGCATGTGGAAGAGCGGGGAATCGAACCCGGTTCCCCAGATTACGAGTCCACCGCTCTTAACCACCACACCACACTGGAACCGTTTGAGCCTGCTAGGCCAAGATACTTATCTCTGGCAGCCCCATGAGCCACGTTTGACAGGTGGCAGGCATGCCAACTCCAGAGGGTCTTCAGCCTTCCTGGAATGCCCAGTGGCAGCCTCAAAGGAACAGGGGGCCTTGCAGAAGAGGAGGAGATCCAGCGCGGCACAGTGGTTAGAGTGTCGGACTAGGACCTGGGATTTCAGGGTTCGAATCCCTACACCTCCATGAAGCTCACTGGGTGACCTTGGGCCAGTAGCTGCCTCTCAGCCTAACCTACTTCACAGAGTTGCTGTAAGGGTTAAAAAGGAGGGAATGAGCATGTACTGTTGTTTATTCATTGATTTAATTTGCACATTCGGGGGGGAAATCGTGGAGTATAAATGCAATAAATGACAGAATAAATAAATAAGCAAATTGGATTGCTGGGATAGCTCAGTTGGTAGACTCTGAGTCTCAGGGTTGTGGATTTGAGCCCCACATTAGGGAAAAGATTCTTGCATTGCAGGGGGTTGGACTAGATGACCCTTGGTGTCCCTTCCAATTCTACAATTCTGTGATTCTATGATGCAGGGGTCCATGAACTCAGAAGTTTGGGAAACCCTGCATTATAGGAGATGATAGATAGATGATAGATAGATAGATAGATAGATAGATAGATAGATAGATAGATACATAGATAATGATGGGGTATAAGGGTTAATTGAACAAATGGCTTGCCCTTGGTCTCTCTAGTCACATTATCACCTAAAGTCTCAGGCAAATAGATATTTCCCAGCCCTCATAGGCTATGTAAAGGTAAGGTAAAGAATCCCTAAAGGTGACTATGGGGTGCGGTGCTCATCTCACTTTCAGGCCGAGGGAGCTGGCGTTTGTCCACAGACAGCTTTCCAGGTCATGTGGCCAGCAGGACAAAACTACTTCTGGCACAACAGAACACCATGATGGAAACCAGAGCGCATGGAAACGCCGTTTACTTTCCCTCTACAGCAGTACCTATTTATCTACTTGCACTAGCACAGGGGTCAGCAAACTTTTTCAGCAGAGGGCCAGTCCACTGTCCCTCAAACCTTGTGGGGGGCCGGACTATATTTTGGAAAAAAAATGAATGAATTCCTATACCCCACAAATAGCCCAGAGGTGCGTTTTAAATAAAAGGACACATTCTACTCATGTAAAAACACGCTGGACCGTCCGCGGGCCGGATTTAGAAGGCGATTGGGCAGGATCCGGCCCCCAGGCCTTAGTTTGCCTACCCATGCACTGGCATGCTTTCGAACTGCTAGGTTGGCAGGAGCTGGGACAGAGCAACGGGAGCTCACTCCGTTGCGGGAATTTGAACCACCGACCTTCTGATCGGCGAACTCAAGAGGCTCAGTGGTTTAGACCACAGCGGTTTAGACCACATAGCGTCCAAATCGGCTATGTACATATTACTGGCTTGAAATGCTGCAAGGTTGTTTTTCTCTCTGCTGTCTCCAACTCCCATTTGCATTTTACTGTCCACACCAGAGAGGGGCTGGGCATGTCTTCCCCTGGCATGCGTTGCCCGTTTTGTTTCCCTTCACCTGAGCTTGCCCAATTCCCGTTCACGAAGCTGCCCTCTGCGCATGAACCGGCGCTTAACTGCAATGCGGATGCGCCTTAAGTTTCCCATTCAGACTAAGCCCACGAGATGAGCTCTGCGCAGGACCGCAGCCACCCATGCCCAACCGACCCCTGAGACTCGAAAGAAGGATGTGGAAATTAAAACAATTCATTACATTCCAAACGGACGGCGCAGTCATCAATAAATAAATGCCTCGGGTGCAATCGTCGATATGGATCTGTTGAACTATTCAATAATTAAATGTAAACCGTCTGAAGAGAATTATTAATTATTTTCATGTATTATTCAGCTGCCATCGCTTCTGAGACAGTGATAGTCTGGAGGGGTGTCCCAAGAACCAGGGGGGAGGAAGTTCAACCCAGAGAGAAAATGAGAGATGCATTGCTAAAGCAGAACCAGCCGGCATAAAGCAAGCTCTGTCTGGGATGCTTCGCTTGGTAGGGAAGGGGATTCGTATAAAAGCAAACAAGGGGAGATTCCTCTCTATAGCAGCGCTAGAGGCACTAATTTCAAGAGATTTTGTGCTCTCTCTGGTGGGCATCCTTGGAAATGCAACCCAGCACGTCCAGTAATGTAAAAGCACCTGATTCTCCTCACATTATGTCAAATGAGGCACAACAAAACAACAACCACCGATTACAAAAGCAACCAATATAGTTAATTTTGGACTTGTTTGGGTTTTTTGTTTGTTTGTTTTGTGTGTGTTTTTGGTTAAGGTTTCTCCTGGAGGAAAGTCTTTACGTTGGCAAGCGGTTAAAGGAAATTTGCAAATAAATACAGTGGTACCTCGGTTCTCGAACGTCTCCATTGCCGAACCTTTCGGAACCCGAATACACAGGGGGATGTGACTCCAGACAGGAGGACTTCCTGTCACACCTGGTCTGGAGCATCCTCCCCCTGCATGTGACCAGGTAGATGGGTGTGACCCTGTGAGACCCTTGTAAAAGGGCCAGTCACGCAATCATCTTCCCTTGCTCTTCTTTTCTTTTGCTGCTCTCTTCTAATACTGTTGCATTTGCTGTGTGCTGGCTCTCGGTCAGCAGCACATGGGCTCATCCCTCACAAAGGATGATTCCACACCTTTCTCTGTATCTGTAACTACAAGCTAAAGCCTGCCTTCAGGATCCTACTGTGAACTGAATGTAAGTAAACTTCTTATTACTTTTAAGAAAAGACTGCTGTGTCTTTATTCTTTTTAAGAGGGAACAAAGGGGATTTACCAGGAATAATCCAATCTGGACAAGCCAGACTGGATTGTTTAACTAAAGAGATTCAGTTGAGTCTACCAACTAGCTTCCTGCAATATACTGAAGTATGTACTCTGCTACTGACACTCTAGCATGAGTGAGGAAAGATAATACAATGGTACCTCGGGTTAAGTACTTAATTCGTTCCGGAGGTCCGTTCTTAACCTGAAACTGGTCTTAACCAGAAGCGCCACTTTAGCTAATGGGGCCTCCTGCTGCCGCCATGCCGCTGGAGCACGATTTCTGTTCTCTTCCTGAAGCAAAGTTCTTAACCCGAGGTACTATTTCTGGGTGAGCGGAGGCTGTAACCTGAAGCATATGTAACCTGAAGCGTATGTAACCCGAGGTACCACTGTATTTAATCCATATATCCTCCCCTACTATCCACAACATTCCCACACTTTTCTCCCCCTAGGACTAGGTCATGTCCATGCCATGCATCCAAAGCATATACCTTCCCCCAAAGAATCATGGGAACTGTAGTTCACCTCCCACAGAGCTACAATTCCCAGCACCCTTAACCAACTGCCGTTCCCAGGATTCTTTGGGGGAAAGTCATGTGGTTCAGATGTGCTTTGAGCAAACAGATGGTGTGTCCGAGACCCTAATGATTTCCTGTACTTTGCCTTTCCCCTAGCCTGCTGACAGATAGCATTGCCCCCTTGTGGGTAGGTAAAAAAATAAAGGTAAAGGATCCCTGGAAGGTTAAGTCCAGTCAAACTTGACTATGGAGTGAGGCGCTCATCTCCGCTTTCAGGCCA